AAGCGTCATATCATCCAACTAATTAAAGGCTTCCTTCCAATCATGAAATCGAAATTGATCCTCTGAAGAAAAAACTTCACCTTTCTTTCTTTCTTTGGTTTGGTCTTACTAGGGCAAGGGCCTGATTTGGCTCGGGCCATAAGTATGCTACCTTAGACAAGTATTGGCATCCTGATCTGGAGGACCGGAGCTGATTACCAAGCATTTCTAGACAAGATTCTAGAGTGCCAAAAAACACTCTGGTTCTGGAGTGGAAGGACTAGATGTTGGATATAGGGGACGCTTGATTTAGGAGGATTTTCTCCATTAAGGTGCAAAACTATTCAACTGTCTTTCAAGAGAATTAAGGATGCAGAATGCAGATGGATGCAAAGAATGGAAGTGAAAGCAATCACCGTCACATTTTAATTAATTCACATCACTTCCATTTCTTCTCATTTTATTCTATCAGAACCATGGTGAGTCTGAAGCTAAAAGCTGTCTTCCCAGTATGAAATGCTAAGACACGTGAATTCACCACCTGAGATACATAATATGGTTAAACTTATGGCGGTGGGTTTGTTTTGTTTAACTTCTGCAATCACAGATTCAGAGTGCAAAACTGCCAGAACCTGATAACACATGAACGTGTCCTCCAAGCGTGAAATTTATTGCGACACAATTTAAGGATATAGGATTCGGAAGATGCTCCATCTTTTAATTGAACCCTAGTAAACTATAATCCAATACATGTGGATATAGTACATTAATGGTAGAGAGAGAGAGAGAGAGAGAGTTAAGCTTCTAAATTTTTAGCTGATTAAAGATACAGACATTCAAAATATTTAAAACACTGAACTACCAATCCGGCACTTTCTCAGTTCAATAGTATAGACGTTGAAAATCACAGACGGATTGTCACGGTCCGCGCGTTCCTCCTATTGAAACCACGCGTCCGTGTGGCACCAAGACTAATCCTAGTCAAGATCAGCCTTCTATCGTGCCCATTTTTCGTCGCGGACAACCCTATTCCAGTCCACGATCCTCGAATGCTCATAGGGATGCATAGTCCCGGTTCTCATGGCCTTGAGGCCTCTTGACATGGTGCGAACCCAACATCATGCCCGCCCGCATCATTCGCGGGCTCCTATATTGAGTTTACGCCAGCACCCCACCTAAGCTGGTCAGCAGCCCAGCTCGGAGCCTCTAGGCTCATTTCGTCCCACGAGACTCGGTTCTTAGGGCTCAGGCCTTTAGCAACAGTATCGACTGCCCGCACGCATGATTGACACCCTACATCATGCCGGTCCCGCAAGGGGACTTAGGTGGACTGCCCCAGTGGCAGCACACCATCCCGACTGGCCGCAGGGGTCTAGCAGCATGCCTACCCGCTAGCCCGCACGCCCCTTTTTCTCGATGGCATCCCTCATACGTAAACACCATCACATGATCCTTCCGGCTCGAGGAGGGGAAACCGAGGGGCATGACGGATTCTACCGTCCAACCCCCTGTCTCAATGCAAAGGCGCGATACGAGGCCGCCGGCCCCAACCGTCCCGGGTTTACTTACCCGAGAAAACATCGTGCCACGCTCGTGACCCTACGATGCCCGCCCACCTAGACACCACGAGTGCCTAGGAAGTAGCTCACTTCAGACTAGCCAGGCCCCCGCCTGCCCGCTAGCCAAGGGGGTGGTGGAAAGCTGACACCAGTCATCCCCTATAAAGAGCGTTAGAGATTTTCCCAATACGCTACCAGTGACCGTAAGAATGTCTGAAACGGGGACACTTTTCTGCCCAGCCATCTCGGGGCCTTTCTCCGGCTAACTCAGGGCCCCGTAACCTTCCCTTTGGTCACCATTGCTCCTTGATACTGCTCGTTGCTCCACCAACCCACTCGAAGGTGCCCGCACATTGCTTCCACTAATGGCACCCGCCAGGATACTTGGCTTGAAGGTGTCCGACCACTGTCCCGAACTTCCCCGCGTATCTTGCGGCCCGGGGCTCCCATTGCCCCTACAACATGTTAGCATCATGTTCCAAAGCTCCGAATGCACGCCTTCATTCCTTAGAACCGCTTTCCCGCCAGCTCGGTCTCGACCGCTGCTCGGTTCAGGGTCAGTCATGGCAGGACCAAGGCCTGACCATGACACTCTCCCCCACTTACTATGTCGATGCCCTCATCGACGCCAAGACCACACCCAACTATCCTGTTGCACACAGCTGACATTTCCTCATATGTCTCTCACTGGTGCTCTCAAGGATTGGGTCGAGGTCCCGTCACATGAGGCACCGTGCACAGTACTCGTCCATTGTTGGTGTAGATTGGTCCCATTGTTGCTCAGCTTTGTTGTAGTTCGAACCGCCTAACCTATCTTGGTTGTATTCATATGGGTCATACCATGGCTTCATCCCTTGATCATTGTCAGGTTGCGACCTCGAGGTGCCCTCATTGATCAATGACCCTCAGTAGAATGAATGACCACCGCTTTGCCACTCATTTGGTGCGTCCCACCGGACGTGACCCCTCACACCAACTGCACGCTTGCAGCATCAACTCACTGATGCGCCCCTCTGGACGTGATGCTTAGGTCAACCGCACTCATACGGCACCCTATATGATGACCCTAGCATAGTGGCATTCAAGCACCTTGGTCATCTCCCAACTTGGGTCCTCTCGGCCCCTCCAAGGTCACCTCTCTAGGTGTGGCCCTCAGGCCAACCGCCCCCAAGACGGCACCTTAAAGCGTGCTAATTCGGTCTTTGCCCCCGGCTTGAACACTATGCTCCATCGCCCAAGCTCCTTTATCTTGGCTCAGTCTCGGGGGGGGGGAATTGACAGGTCTCCCCCACTTTTACTGGAAACTCGGCACAGCATTATGCGCAACCCTGTCTCCTCGATGGTTCTATTGCTCGATAGTTTTGATTCCAGCCCAGTTCCTAGGGCGTCCCAAAATCCGCTTATACTCGGAGACCCACTGATCTACCAGCACTTCTAGCCCACTGATTTGTTTGACTCGGGGATTCACCCGCTCGATCCTCAAGGTCCACTGACTTGCACGACTGAGGCCTTGTCAACTGGCCGTTTTCCCTTTCTTGTTCCACTGGAAAACATCCTGGTTCACACACACACTCTCGTGATCCTCTGACCACAAGAACTCACGGTCCACTGACCAACGCAGCTCATGGTCCACTGACCATCTCGCTTGTGGCTTCAATCTTCAGCCACTTCATACTCTTCTGTGTAGTAGTCTCATGCTTGGACCCGAATACTTCGGCTTGCACCCCCGCTGGGGCACCTGCACCATACATCAAGTGCACACATTAGTAATTAATCTTGCAACTCGACACCTCCTGCCCCTCAGGACAAGATTCACTCGGCCCACGTGGCCTGACACAACACCATTTCATGGTGTAAGACCCTTTTCGGATCTCGGTCTCACTATGGTTCCTTTCACCGTAAAGGCATCACATGCCACAACATATGCCAACACCTTTTTCTAGGTGAGGCTAGACTCTGGTGCCCTTTTTCTAGGCGTCCAAGAGTCTACTCGAGAGCCATTTTACATAGGCCCAATATTTCCCATCGCATGCAACGGTGGCCCTTTCCCGAGCCCCCATAGGCACAAAAACTGCATTTGTGTCTCGATAGCTCCATTCGGGCTTGGCACCACCGTAATTTCGCATCACCAGACCCACACATGGGGTCGCGTAACTCTCGCCACTGAGCCAACCTAGGCTCTGATACCAAGTGTCACGGTCCGCGCGTTCCTCCTATTGAAACCACGCGTCCGTGTGGCACCAAGACTAATCCTAGTCAAGGTCAGCCTTCTATCGTGCCCATTTTTCGTCGCGGACAACCCTATTCCAGTCCACGATCCTCGAATGCTCATAGGGATGCATAGTCCCGGTTCTCATGGCCTTGAGGCCTCTTGACATGGTGCGAACCCAACATCATGCCCGCCCGCATCATTCGCAGGCTCCTATATTGAGTTTACGCCAGCACCCCACCTAAGCTGGTCAGCAGCCCAGCTCGGAGCCTCTAGGCTCATTTCGTCCCACGAGACTCGGTTCTTAGGGCTCAGGCCCTTAGCAACAGTATCGACTGCCCGCACGCATGATTGACACCCTACATCATGCCGGTCCCGCAAGGGGACTTAGGTGGACTGCCCCAGTGGCAGCACACCATCCCGACTGGCCGCAGGGTCTAGCAGCATGCCTACCCGCTAGCCCGCACGCCCCTTTTTCTCGATGGCATCCCTCATACGTAAACACCATCACATGATCCTTCCGGCTCGAGGAGGGGAAACCGAGGGGCATGACGGATTCTACCGTCCAACCCCCTGTCTCAATGCAAAGGCGCGATACGAGGCCCGCCGGCCCCAACCGTCCCCGGGTTTACCTTACCCGAGAAAACATCGTGCCACGCTCGTGACCCTACGATGCCCGCCCACCTAGACACCACGAGTGCCTAGGAGTAGCTCACTTCAGACTAGCCAGGCCCCCGCCTGCCCGCTAGCCAAGGGGGTGGTGGAGAGCTGACACCAGTCATCCCCCTATAAAGAGCGTTAGAGATTTTCCCAATACGCTACCAGTGACCGTAAGAATGTCTGAAACGGGGACACTTTTCTGCCCAGCCATCTCGGGGCCTTTCTCCGGCTAACTCAGGGCCCCGTAACCTTCCCTTTGGTCACCATTGCTCCTTGATACTGCTCGTTGCTCCACCAACCCACTCGAAGGTGCCCGCACATTGCTTCCACTAATGGCACCCGCCAGGATACTTGGCTTGAAGGTGTCCGACCACTGTCTCGAACTTCCCCGCGTATCTTGCGGCCCGGGGCTCCCATTGCCCCTACAACATGTTAGCATCATGTTCCAAAGCTCCGAATGCACGCCTTCATTCCTTAGAATCGCTTTCCCGCCAGCTCGGTCTCGACCGCTGCTCGGTTCAGGGTCAGTCATGGCAGGACCAAGGCCTGACCATGACACGGATCGTGTTTCAGAGACAATTGGGACAGCCAATAAACGAGTTCGCTTGCCTTTTTTTTGGGTCAAAACAGATTCAAAAGTTAACAGGAAATTGACTGTACAAGCAAAAGTATAAGGTCTGAGCTCTTAGGCCTCAACAGTACTTAAAACATCGCACATATAAACTCTCAATATCTTAATTAATAGAACTCACATGTCTCAGGCCCGATTTCCACAATTAAACTGAAAAAGATCTTTGGTGTATATACATTTTACAGGTTTTTCTGCCTTTAACCACTAGAGATTTGTTGAATGTCTATAAAATTTTTTTTTCCTCTCATCCTTTGTAAACATCTACGAGTCTCCTGAGGCCACAGATATGTTCCAGAGTCCAGACAGAACTAGACGACTTTGTATCAATTAAAGCACAAGCTTGGTTTTCTTAATTTATTATTTTTAACAAATAGAAAGTTTTACGCCAGACATCATTAGTCACAAGGTAGTCCATTCCCTCCACACATTGCCAATCGTCACTCTTATCACCTTACCTTTTAGCTACTTACAAGTTCCAACTGCCTTTAAAAATCAGACCGAAGCCCATCAATGTGAATTGTCCAATCTATAAAACTCTTTTAACTTATCTATCAGAACTCCAAAAGCTACCAAAACAACAGAAAAAAAAAATCGAAAAAAGCAGTTAGAAAATGTTGAAGGGTTCGTCCATGAAGCTTAGTGAGATCGTAGAAAGATGGAGGAAGAGGAAGAAGGGTCATTTTGCAGTCTACACCAAGGAAGGAAAAAGGTTCGTCGTGCCCCTATGCTATTTGAATCATCCTATCTTCAGGGTGCTGTTGGAGATGGCAGAGGAGGAGTTTGGCACAGCAAATCATGGGCCATTGCAAGTTCCATGTGAGGAAGAATTGATGGACTACATTCTTTCTCTGCTAAGGAAGAATCCTTCTGAGAATGTAAACAAAGCTTTAGCGTCCATGACTACTTGTCAAGGAGCTTCATTATCTTCTTTCCTTCCTCTCTTCTATGCTCATGGCCATGGTGAGCGCCAAACTATGGTCTCATGAGATACAACAAATCTGAAGGCTTTAACATATTTGTTGGCTGAGGACACTTTGTACATATTGGATGAGTTTAGGACCCTTTTTTTCTTCTCAGTTCCCCATCTTTTTCGTATTTCTAGTTAAGAGCAGATACAGGGTATTGATTATCTAGCAATAAATTCACTTAAAATAATTAAACTCCATAGTCAATTTACAATCATAGCTCACTACTTATCGGCTTTAGCTGCTAAATTTCGACTTGCAACGCCAGAGTTTAAAAATCATAAAATCTACAACAAAATGGGACCCTGATCTCTTCACCTCCAACCCCACTCCCAAAACGAGAGAGAGAGAGAGAGAATAGAAGGATATTGATTGTCATGAACATCATTCATTCTAATTGATATTGCAACAGCATGCAAGAGGTAACTTCCACCCATTTATCATTTGCTTTTAGGTAAATTCACATTCACAGCCTGTTATCATCACATTTTGGGATACTAATTACACACACACATATATATATATATATATTATATTATATTATATTATATTCCTAAATCCTAATGGCAAGACTATCCCGACGCTCCCAAATAAACAAAAACAACAGGACTTTTTTCTTGGGAAAAATACCATATTTTGTGTAGTGCACTCTTTGGCCCAAATTGTGAGATTGTAGTTACTTTTGGCCCAAACCATCTGTACTAGGCAAAGGATCGTAAATGTCCACAATCAAAATAACAAGCTAAAGCGTATCGGCATTTTCAGGCCCAAATTTGGATAAGATCTTTGCCCTATGTTGATTGGATTATATCAGGAACTTCTTTTTCCTCAATTTCAGCGGTGGATTTTTTCTTTTTGGTGCTAGTATTCGTGTTTGCAACGATTATAAATGACTGGACTCAACTATGCAGCACAAAGGTTTCACCTTCAGTCATATAGAGTATCAAGAGGGGCCTGAAATCAGTTCCAGGACAGTGACAACTATGAAAGAATAGAATTCAATCTGCTAGAAATAAATAAGGATACGATGCTCAATTTCATTTTTCTTGCTTTATTAACTGGCTTTATTCATGAAGCATTGTCACGCTTAAAATTTATATCAAACAGAAAATTCATGATTCCTGTTCAGAAGATTCCAATGACGAGAAAAAAGCAAAGAAGTTTCAACGTAGAGTGAAACTTAGCTTTGAACATACATTTTTCAAATTTGAGCTATATCACTACCTTCCAAATTATGTTCCATCTCAAGTCCAAATCACTCAAATTTTGGAGGTTGCAAGCTTGATGAGATCCCTTCTAAGAATCTTGCCTGATGGATTCTTGGGTATTGAATTTATAAATGCCACTTTGCGGATTCTCTTGTACGGTGCTACCTGTGTTAATTACAGCAAAATTTTTAACTCTCACATGAAATGACCTTGTTCTGATGAATCTTATAGTTAATTCATGAAAGCCATTCCCAATATTTGGCTAATACTACAAAATTGTAATTGCTTACTTGTCTTGCTACAAAATCCATGACTGCAGTCTCCGATATATTGCTTCCAGTTTTTCTAACCACATACGCCATGGGATACTGCCCAACCTCATAATCAGGAAACCTGATCATAAGATATCAAAATCACAGTCTCAAAAGAAATCAGATCAAAGAAACAGGTGTTTCAGATCCATGCTGCTTTCTTGTGAAACATACTTTTCTATCAAGAACGGAAAATTTGTGCATCATATATGAGAAAGGAAGTTCCAAGCTAGCTCCATATAAATCATTGAAGATCGAAACTTACGGTATGACAGCAACATCAAAAATCTCTGGGTGAGAAAGTAGCAACGCTTCCAGTTCTGCAGGAGGCACCTACAACAATGCAAACAAAGCCATTAAAGCCTCTAATTAAGTTGTGATTTCTATAGAAAGTGGAGCAAACTGTCAAAAATATCATCAAATTAACTATCCACAACTCAGATGCTTTATCCACCTGATATCCTTTATATTTAATCAGCTCCTTCAACCTATCAACAACAAAAACGAAGCCATTATCATCGATGTAGCAAAGATCTCCAGTCTTTAACCATCCATCTGAATCAAGAGTTGATGCTGTAGCTTCTACATTATTGTGATAACCTATACCATAGCAGGACACGAAGAATCAATAAGAGGATAAAACACATTAACTAAAAATGAAAATTAAAAACACACTAAAATGAATCAGGCTAGAGCGTTAGACAAACTTATTGCTGCTATGACTTTACAGGCTGCAAGGGTTAGGCTTGTTTGATAACGTTTCAACTTTTTTATCCGATTTGAAATTATTTGAGAAATTGGTAAAATGTAACATAACTCAATAACCCAAAACTAAAACCTACTTCAGAATTTCCATTTGCCAACCTGCTGGTCCCAAGCATGCGCCATAGTTATAACTAGCTAGGCAGTACAGCTATTTAAGTATTCACTTGATTATCTGATTATATGGTGATTGGCTGTTAGGATTTCGGAACACAATCCAATATCGTAAGCCTAACATTTAGTACTTAATTACCCTCCCAATCCCTAATATGGGAATGAAATTAGGAAACCATTCCTGATTCCACTCATCACTATTTCAACTAAATACTACTTTTCTAGCAAATTTGAATTCATCACATTTTTGGATGTGACAAGCTAGTCCGAACAAAAAAGAAAAAAGGGAAAAGAATGAAAAGGATTTGGCAACTAAGTCTTTTTTTTTTTTTGGGCCAATAACAACCGTGTCCTTTTTAATCAAGTTGCTTTTAAATTACTCAAATACAAAATGGACTTTGCATGAGTAAAAAATCATCATTATTTTAAAATACCAAGTGAACCATTTTTCAAATGACTAATGTAGTTTTAGGGTCCACTACATATATCTAGCTCAAACAATATCTAAAAAGGCCAAAATATAATATTTCAGTTAAAAAATGCGATTAGTTGAACAATACTACTATTTACACATTTTAATACTCTAGCATATAATATAATAATTGTAATGTAAAGGTCACACCAATAGCGATGGCATTGTCAAGTTAGATTTCGGGCGATGCGATTTTGATAGCCTACAAGCTCCAAGCTGTCTGTCCAAAGGTCACTTCAGAAGAAAAAGGACATGCTTGAAAAATAAGATATGTTTATCTTCCACCACGAACAACCAAATTATTATGGGAACACAAACCAACAAACGAAATGACTGATTACTTCATCTACAGAAGAAAAACAAATATATTACCTTTCATAATCGAGGGACCCCTAAGCCAAAGCTCACCCGTCTGATTAACCTTCACGGCCACACCTGTGACAGGGTCCACAATTTTGGCCTCCAAGCTAGGTGAAAGTAATCCTACTGCGCCACACTTCCTACTCTCCTCTAGCGAATTAATTGACGCGCCAAACCCTGTTGTCTCGGTTAACGCGTACCCCTGACGAATATGCACTGTAGGAAACTTCTTTAAAAATCCGTTGACGACTGCCTTGCTCAGTGGAGCCCCACCACACACAACCGATTGCAGCGAACTCAAGTCATACTTCCTTTGTATCTGATCGGCTCCCTTCACCAATGCCAGGAGTATAGATGGCACGAGGGGCAGGCGAGTGACACGATACTTCTCAACCGCCGCCAGCATTTCGTTCATGTCGAACTTTGATAAAATCACTACCGTTGATCCTGTCGTCAGTTTCCCTATGGCAAAAGCTCCGAAGCCGTAGATGTGGTACATGGGAACGGTGCAGATATCTGTTTGCTCTCCTTCGTCTGGATTGACCAAGATTGAAAATAATTGCATTAGGGCCATGAGGTTTCTATGAGACGATACAACTCCCTTGCTGGTACCTGTTGTGCCTGACGAATAAAGTAAACTAGCTGCGTCGTCCTGGTATACTCGGTCCCTGATTCGGCTACCAGTTGGCTCCTTCTTTATCATTTGATCAATAGTTGTAACAATTTTGGCTTCGCTCCTGGTATTGATCACCTGTTCGTCGAGAAGTACGATGCGAACAGATGATCTAGCAAGTTTTGGGACGACTTGACTGGTGGTGAAGACGAGGACGGGCTTTGAATCAACCATTTGTAGCGCGATTTCACGGGGTGTGTTGAGGGGATTGCTGGTGGTTATAATAGCGCCAAGAGACATCACAGCGAGGCAAACAATGGGGAAGAAGATGGAGTTTGGTGCGATGATGAGAACGACGTGGCCTTTCTGGATTCCCAAGTCGGATAGACACGTAGCAACGTAGTCAACGGCTTGCCATAGTTCGGAAAAGGAGAGATGGCGTCCAGTATTGGCGTCGATGAAGGCGGTTTTGCCATGGTGGGGGTAAGAGGAGATAAATGTTGTGATATCAAGGCAGTGGTTAGATGGAAGTGGAAAGGGGGTGCGTTTGCTGTAGAATGTAGAATTGGAGGAGCAAAAACCACTTCTTGGATCGATTCTTAAGTTGCTAATTTGAGCCATAGTTTGCGTAATTTCTTTACTTTGATAGACCTTGATTTGCCTGTCTTATAAACGTACAATTCAATTGTGTTGCTAATAATTTACTGCAAACAGCCAGTTGATCACAGGCTGCAGAGGCGTGGGAGCAGTTGAAGACTCATTAGCAATAGAGTGGAGACTTTTGGTAGGTGCATTTCGTGCCATGGTTACAGACATCGATGGGATCAAATTAAGCAACCCAGGCATTCTTTTGCAATTTCAAATCTCTATTATTTTTCCAAAAGACTTTTGCTGACGCAAAGATGGTTATATAATTTTGTCTCTGCTGATATTTGAAGTTTCTAAAATTGAATTTTCATCATTAACATCACTCAACCAAATAATTACTATATGTAAGCATTATTAATTCATGAATAAATTATATGTACAATTATTAAATTATTATTGGCATTAATTTACTAGTAGTAGTAATTAAAAAAGAAACCCACGGTTGGGCCCATTCAGGTCCATAGAGTTTTATATTTTGAGAGGTAACCCACCCGTAGGATACGATAGACTCCTACTTATATTTTATTGAAAAAGTTAGATTATAATTCGTGTTATGAATGAAATAATTTTATTTATTTAATATAAATATATATATGTATATATAAAAATTAATTTTTTAAATTATATATATTAGTTTTTTAAAAATTATATTCAAATATTTAAAATTTATAGTATATATAAAATTTATACATATTGATTTATTATTAAAAAATAAAAATTCTAGAAATAACAAAAAAATTATGTCTTTCATTTGGATTTTTTTAAAATTATATTTATACACTTATAAGATTATATCAAATAAAAATAAATTATGTTTTTCTTTAAAAAATAAAAATATATATTATTAAATAATAATAAATTATTAACATACTTTTACTTTAATAATCTTGACTAAATTATTATGCAAAATATGAAAAATATTAGAAAATATGTGAAAAAGAAAAAATAAATTGAAAAAAAATTATTTTTCATAAGAATGAAATTATAATAAAAATAAAATATATCTTGAAAAAAAATTACAATAGTAATAGAATTTACTTTGAAAAAAAGTTATTGAAAAAAATAAAAAAAGTGATGTATAATACACTATATTTGTAGTCTTAAATTTGAAAAAAAATTTTAATCGTAATTATGATTAAATAGATATTTTTAAAATTTAAAATGGATATAATAAATGATAAAGATAATATTAAATTTTTACATTTATTTCAAATATAAATTTGATAATTAAAGTTCAAATGAATATAATCATTTTAATGGTCTCATTATTTAAAAATTTAAAATAAAAATTTTTTGAATCTTCAAAATCTTATATAAAGTTAATTGAATTTTTAATGTCATACGTAAATTTTTAAAAAATAAATTTTAAAATCAAGATAAAAAAATTGTTTAAAGATTTAGATAAATTTAATCTTTGTAATTTTTAAATATATTTGAAATATTTTGATAATTAAATAATTTTTAAAAAAAATTATTTGATAAACAACTAAAATTATTTATTAAAAAATAAAATCCATATTTTATATTTTTAATTTTAGAAAATATATCTCTAAATTGATTTGATTTTTAATTATAATTTGAATAATTTTGATATTTGAATAAATTTAAAATTATTTAATTTGTAATTAAAAAATATCTTTTTTTTTAAATTATATTGTGTGTCATTTAAAAAAATTGTCAACGTAAGCGCTCATGTGATAAACTTGTGTATGTATGTTATTATATATAATATATATATATATATATTAGATTAATTTTCTATATATATATATAAATTATTTAACTAGGATAACTCAAACTTTAATTATTTAAATAATAAGATATTAAAAATCAAATAAAAGAAATTATAATAATTATTCTTTATTAAACATTCAATTCAGAATATTAAAGGTAGGTTTAGGTACTTAATATGTAAATGATCATTCAAGCAATATTCCAAAATATATTAAAATTTCTTACAATATAACTCTTTACAGAGGTGCAAAATATTGATAAAATAAAAAAAAAGATACTAGTAATCACAATTATTTTAAATTTTTAAGTTGTTGTCAACAGATTGAATAAGCAACCAATATAAAAATATTTCCCATACCGGTTCTCCTGTTACGGTTGCTTGGTCTCTTAACTCACCACACTCTTCAATCAAAGGTTAGAACTTTGAAGTGAGTGTGTCAAATTGCACTGACACGGTGATTTGTTTTACAAAATTTTATATTTATATTATATTTTATATGAAACTTATATTTTATAATTCATATTAATATAAAAATATAAAAAATTTATTTTATTAAATTCACAAATAATTGTTATTAAAAATTTTAATCATATAATTTTCATATATATATATATATATATTTCATATCCATTTCATGTGACCGAGTTTTATTTTAAATAGTCAGAATCTATCAGTTGCCCAAATTGCACAAATTTTTAGTTTGATTTTTTGTTAAATTTTACAAAAAACAAGGGAAGAAATTATCTTTTTTTTGGGCTTGGGTTTCAATAGTTATGCGTAGCCCAACCCTTTGAAAGTAAGGTCCCAAAAGCCCACTATCAAAAACGACTTCAGGATCAAGTCCAGCACATACTATAATGGGGCCTTTAATTGTGGTCGTTGATCAAATCGGCATCTAACGGTCGGGAATGAAAGCAACCGGCAATGAAGTAATCAGTCGAGCCAGAATTTCAGCTTCAAAATATTTTGGACCATTGACTTAGGGATTGGTTACAGAGAGAGAGAGATGGGAGCAGGCCATGGAGGGAGCACAACTTACAAGGGTGTAACTTTGCATCACCCAAAGAGATGGCATGTCGTCACCGGCAAGGGGTTGTGCGCCGTCATGTGGTAGTCTTTTTTCTTTTCTTTCTTTACTTTGAAAATCTGAGTCTTGATTTCTTATGTTTTACATCAATCTTCCATTTACAATTACCTAATTATATAAGGCACGCTAACTATGATCCCGATCAACCTTCTTTGCTTTATTAGATTTAGTTTAATTGAATGATGCTGTTGAGCTAAATCGTTGGGGGAATTGGGTGCAATTTCAATTAGGACAGCTGAGAAGAAGTCGTGGAAATGCGTTGAAAGTGGCGAGTTTATTTCTAGAGAACTGGGGGTTTTAGCTGAAAAATAGTATGGTAAAGGCTTGAATTTGGTTGAAATTACTTTTGATTCTCATAGGGTTTTATGTCCTAGGTTTCACTTGTTTGCCTGATTAGGCTGGAAATTTTTTCATTCATGTATATTGTTATTTCTGATTTTGCTTCGAATATATCATTTATATATTATCCTTCTGATTGATGGATAATAACTAGAGAAGTTTCTTGCAAACATTAATAGAGATGATTTTGCAATGCTGGTGGATTTTCTGAAGTTTCTTGAACTCTGGTATTTCAGGTTTTGGGTCTTATACAGGGCTAAACAAGATGGTCCTGTAGTATTGGTAAGAAGTGCCTCTTTTCAGCTTTCTTCATAATCAGCCCTTATTTGTAATAACTTACTTTCATTCTTAGGCTGATTTTTATCATGTCTCTATTAGGGTTGGCGTCATCCTTGGGAGGGCCATGATGACCATTCTCATGGCCATGGAGACAAGCACTAGGTACCTTTTTCTTTTTATGTGATTTCTTAAATTGACTTGTTTAGTTTCCTTTTTGTATAATTATGCATTTTATGAGAGTTTAATTGAGAACAGGCAGAAGGGCAGTCATTTATTCTTGGTGCTGGAAAACTTAATTTTCTTTTTCTGTAATAAGAGTTTAGTATGAAACTCCAATAGGTCGTTACATTAAGATATATGACTAAATATTTTGTGCGTTAATTGTATGTAACTTTAAGGCATTATGATCTGTTATACAGGTCATGTAATTGATGTCATTTGCATATGTATGCATAAGGATCATCACTAAAACAAGAATAGAGAAGAGATAAACTGAGGACTTGCATAGGCATTGTTAGATATTTAGTTATTCTGTAATTTTATATTTGCCTATTCCATCATTTAATCAGGAGGTCTTAGGATGTTAATGTTACTTCGATTTGCTGGTTAATGTCATGTCTTTTGCCCCTTTTTTATGCATTTGTCTCTAGTTAAGATTTGCGTATAGTTTGGTGGAGTTGCTTAAGCTCTTGTTTAGGTAGTATTTATATTAGTATTGTATAATGCAGCATGAAATGAGAGAAACTTGTATTCAGTTTCGGTGATTACTGGCACTGTTTTGGACTGCAGCCTGAAGAAGAATATCCGACTCTTGTTGCTGGTGCAGATACTGTTTTGGATGTCTTCTGTTAATTTCTTCTGTTCCAATAAAGTGATTGTGAAAAGGGATTGTAAGCATAATGAGATGAAAAATGAGACTCACTTTCAACATTGTTTTTTTTTTTTTCTTTGTAAGCATGGATTTTTCTGATTTTTCAGCTGAAGGTAAATTAAAGCTCAGTTGAAGTATTTTTATATTAGTCTATCCTAGTAAATTAGTGTGCCTTATTCTACGTAATTACCAGTCAACTGCGATGGATCCGTCTTAAAAGTAAATGCTGGCATTATGTCTAAGTATGTAGGTCTGACTGTGATTGATGTACTCACATAGAAAGCCTGTTATTTGCTGGGACAATGGTTTTTCAATTATGGTTATTGTTGTTCAAATACTCTGTTGTTATTCGTCACCTAGAATGAACTTACAGACAGCACTTAAACGCTTGACTTGGTCCAGCTCAAAATGCAAAGCTGGCTGCCTTGTCCACTTAAACCTTTCTGTTTGATGGGATACCGAACAGAAATATTTTGGTGATATTCAACAGTATGTATTATAACCTAAATGTTCAATAGTTAGATATAAATTGGATTAAAAATGGATTTTGAATATTAACAAGATAATATTATGAGAAATCGACCCATATCGATTAACTTCTTGGAAGTGGGATCTTGATATAAATTTAAGCTTAGCTAGTTATTTATTTATTTATTTTTAGTATAGAGTTCCAATTAACATGGTACTGATGTTAAAGAGGTAATCAAACTATAAAAAAAAAAAAAGGAGAGAGAGAGAGATTGAAATTGCAATTAGGACTGCACTATCTTATTGAAATTTGAAAAGAATCACAGAATACAATTAACATTTGGTTATTCAATTACCAACTCTGGTTATCTACCAAGCTTTAGCATAACAACTAATCAATGAGCAAACTGTAAAAACAATGGTTGCCAATCATGAGTTGCCACAGGAAAAGAATAGTTATAGATATAGTGTCTCAATTAGTTTGTTAGTATGTTGAGAACTAGAACTCTAGTCTGGATCAAGCGTCTCAACATGCACTCTGGTTTAGCTTCAAGATCCTCAATCGTTATTTCCACTGCCTCCAATATTTTATTTGCACTTTGAAGTGCCATTTCATTCTTATATCATAAAAGCTGTGGCCATTCGATCGCATGAACTTCGAGGCAAAAGACGCTTTAGCTGATTTTCTCTCCAACCAGGGCATAGCAATGAGGGACAGTACGTAGTGACTCCAACACATAAATAGGTGTCACTCTCACTTCTCTTTGCACATCGACAACCATCGAAAGATTGTCGTCGGTGGGTGATATGCCAGAAGTGATAGACTTGTTTCTCATCCCTTTTAGTGAGTGCAAACACTTCAGGATCTCTTTTTTAAGCTTCTTTGCGTATCGGTTGTAAACTGCAATTTTGGTTCGAATATAAAGTCTTGACCGTCGCTTTATATTTGATTCTATAAAGGATAAGTTATATCCAAAATCAGATCTCAGATCTCGAGGAAAAGAGCTATGAAGTATCCTTCTGAGTACGGACCTGGGACAATTGATAACAGCTAAGGGACCAAATATGTTTGAAGGAACCATCCGCGTGAGATAGAGAAACAGAAGGCACTTGGATGTTGTCAAGATAATGATGTTGGATGCTGGTGACATCGACTGGTACAGAAAAGAATGCATGCACGAAGGCAGGATGCCAGCTTGTGTTCAATTCTTACAAGGCAGAGACAAGCTAGACTTTATATATATGTTACTCTTTATTTTTCCTAACTGTGCATGGTAATGTTTTCTCTGAACACAACATAAAATCTGATATTAAGATTCACACTCTCGGTGAGGAAATTCCAAGAAAATTTTGTGAAGGTTCCTTCATATGTATAGATACTCTACTCAAGACATTAATGTAATAATTTAGTGGAAAGAAATAATTGGGACCATATATATATATATATATATATACATGGTTTGTTAACCATATTTTCCAGATTGGGGGAACATGGAATTGAATTTATATGCCAGAAAGGAAAATCTAAAACGTGATATACGGCAATTATACGTATTTCAATTGCTGCTGCCATGCATTAAAATGACTTTGCAATGGCAACGATAAAAACTCAAATAAACTCTGTAGCTTGGTTACCATTATGCTTTGCTGATTGTTGTTCAGGGGTTAACTCAAGCCTATCTTATAATAGCTACTAAAAAAAAAAAGAAGAGAAGAGCAGCTCTCCTAGAATTTGAACTATTATTCCAATGATTCACAAAACGAGTTCAATTTAGGTTAGGTTTTGAAAATTTTTAATCTAATTAGAATTAGCATGCCCACAATTTATAAATAGAATAAACAAAAATACTAAAAACGTATAACATATAATACATACAATTTTATATTATTAAGGATAGAAATATATACTCATAAATTATTTAAATATATGAGGTGTGACTTATTTGGAAAAGAATAAAAAAAGAAAAATGTTGACAAATTATGCACACAAGGACACACTTTGCAGTTAAATTCTTAAAATTAAAATCGGGGGACAAGAATATACACTTACTGATACATTTTTCTGTCCTTTCGACCCTTTGAACAAATCGGTGGCTAGCCATGGAAAACAGGAATTAACAATTGCTGGAATTAATATTCCTTAAGTCTGAATGTGTTGGTTTTTAGGGTGGAGCCCAAGTGAACTAGAAGCTGTTGAAGAAAATGGAATGGTAGGTCCAACCCCAGGGTTCACTGAAGAAACCTTTTTTCGGTGAAGAAAATGGCAACTGCGCTACTTTTTCAAATAAAAATTATTGCTTGTGGTTCCACGCTTTGGAAGTTTTTGGAATTCTTATTCATATTAGTCGGCAAGGTAAGATAATTTTCGTTCATAAAGAAACCAAATTTCTTTTGATGAATGCCATTGGTTTGAGAAAATATTTTTATTTTATTTTTTAGAAATAATTTTATGTTTTATTTGACGAATAGAAAAGAATAAAAAAATGAAAGCCTATTTGTCGGTTGTAAAGATGCGCACGGAGAACCAAGCGTATCTTATCTTTTGCACGTATGATAATATTGTGGGGTCGTAGTACGGAACTAGTTGGCGCTTGAAACTTGAAACAGAGGCCTCACGAGCATTAGAAAACAGCCTAAGGTCAAATTTGAAGATAACAAATGGGCCTCCAATTTGCCAGCTACCGTCCCTCATCGAGGCCACTTATCATTCCCAAGTTTACTCACACCTATGGACCCTTTGGGCCCATTTATTAATACCAGTTGGCTCGCAGATCCAAGCGTTGCTTTCGCCTCTCCGTCTCAATGTATTAGGTGAATAGTAAACGAAAATGTTGTGCAACGGGGAGTGAAGCCAGTGGATTAGAGCATCAAAGAGCGGGCCGCGGAAGGAAAAGGAATCATGTCGGCGAATTTGGTAAAGCAAAAATTTCGAAGTTTTGAGCCCACGTGGCACAACAAGATTCCACGCGTAATAATATGATATATACTACAAGTTGGGAGATCCTATAAATGGTGCGGTTTTATGTTCCTCTTTTGGCATTGCGTCGTTCTTTTGCGTCAAGAATCTTTGGAAATACCCTTTAGCCTTTAGCTTTAGGTTAAATCAATCAAATAGACAGAGCAGTAAAAAAGGATAGAAAAGAGTGATATGCAGGAGAATAAAGCAGTGGATTCCGGCAGGTTCAAAAGGGTTTGTGTCTTTTGTGGAAGCAGCTCCGGCAAGCGAAACTGTTATCGTGATGCTGCCCTTGAGCTGGGCAAAGAACTGGTATATATTCTGTTCTCCAATGCCTTCTTTCATTTTGTTTGCCTTGCTGTGACAACTTTTATTTAAGCTCCTTCCTTGGTTTTAATTTCTTTGTCTCAAGGTCTCCAGGAGGTTGGATCTTGTTTATGGAGGAGGAAGTGTCGGTTTAATGGGTTTGGTTTCTCAGGAAGTCCATCGAGGTGGAGGACATGTTTTAGGGTACAAATACACATATTCTTGGTTGGAAACTGATTTTCATCTTCACTTACTGAATTCGTTTCGTGTTACTATATTCTATAAATTCTGTTTCTTGATTTTCTTTCATTTATCCCCAGAATTATCCCCAAAACTCTGATGAGCACAGAGGTCTCTACAATCTTTTCCTGTTTGGTTTTCTTCTTTCTTAATCTAAAGTCTCCTTTTGGTTACGTCACTAAACCATGATACATAAATATGCTTTTGTTTTCGTTAAACAGATAACAGGGGAAACAGTAGGGGAGGTCAAACTTGTTGCGGACATGCACCATAGGAAAGCTGAGATGGCCCGCCATTCTGACTGTTTTATCGCCTTACCAGGTCTCTCTCAAGTCTTAATTTTTCTCTTAAGATCAATAATCTAATTAATTATTATGCTCTTGCCGAAGTAATTTATTGTTTGTTCTCAATTAATCAGGTGGATTTGGAACCCTTGAAGAGTTATTAGAAGTCATAACATGGGCCCAGCTTGGAATCCACGACAAGCCTGTAAAGTCATATCATGTCTAATCATGAATCTACTGGCATGAAACTGGTTTCTAAAACTATACAAACTTTTTAACTCTTTTGTTTCATATATATCATGAAAACAGGTTGGCTTGATTAATGTGGATGGCTACTACAATTATCTGCTCACCTTCTTTGACAAAGCCGTGGATGATGGCTTCATTAAACCATCCCAACGTAGTATCATTGTCTCAGCTCCAACTGCCAGAGAACTTGTTCAGAAACTTGAGGTAGGCTTTTAACCTTTCATAGTAGTGTATATCACAGCGTCAATTCTTGGTGCATTTTTGTAGTAAGTATTGTTTATTTATTTGTTGAATTATTGTATATATCTGCTCCGAAAACTTAGGGATAGTGTTTTGTTTTGAATAGGAATACGTGCCAATGCATGATGGAGTTGTTGCTAAGGCAAGGTGGGAGGCTGAACAATTGGAGCTCAATTCATCTTTGCAAACTGAAATTGCTCGTTAATCAGATCTCTCCCATTTATTTATTTATTTATTTTGCTTTTGTGTTTTTTCTTATCAGAAAATGTAAGTAAGCAACTAGCTAGCTCTAGGGTTTCTCCTTTCAAAATTTGTATGCACTGTATTACTCTAGGATAGAAAGGAGAAAAATCCATTGTATGGAAAAAAAATTAAGAAATTAAGCAAATTTGTTAGGTGGTTGTTAACTCCTTGTGTTGGGTGAAAATGGCAAGTGGTAAGTTGTATTTTCTTCGTTATATGCTTACTCTTTAAAACTTGCAATGAAAAGAACATGAAGGAAAAAAAAAAAAGGCAGCCTTTTTATTCTTTTTCCAATGCATGCCGTTTCTGTTCTGCTGTGCAGATACCTCTTCTCTTACACTCCTCCTGGCGATTCAGTTATGCAGTATTCTCAAAGCTTTTTAAATTTTTTTTTTATTATTTTCATGTTCAGTCCTTTAAAAGTGATGGACCCAAAAGAAATTTTCTGCTCATTACAGTGAATACTGAACAGCAACTTGGAAAGAGGATGGTCTATACACTGTAGTACTTCCAGTCTAGCTGTAGTGGTAGGCGAAAGCTTGGGCAAAGCCATATAATTCATTATGTATTTTCTTAAATTTTTATTCTACTTTCTGATTTCCCCGTTAAGACAGATATCATTAATTTGATGGAAGAGAGGGAATACTGGCAGGGAATTATAGTGGCTGGAAAATAGCCAACTAAATCATGGCGGCTTAACAAGCCACGAATGGGCACCTCGAGGGCTACAATTTCCGATTTTCCAATTTCCAATTGCACTATTTCTTTCTGAATTTCTATGGCCTTCAATTGAGTATACTATTTTGAAATTTCTCTTGCTTTTATCTTGATTTTGAAAATAGCTAAATCATCATGGCTGACACAACCAAAAGAAAAAAGAACAAAAAGATTCTAAATCAAAGGCTAAATAACAAGTTAGGTACTGGTACAGTGAGTAGTAACAGGGTAAGGCAAGAGCTTTGGGCATTAGAGATATTGACATCTGCTATTCAGTTCTCCGTCAGTGATGGCATCAGTGATATTTGGTGTTGAGTGCCACTTCACCCATTCCTTATCCGAACTGTGGCCTATCTAACCCTGCAATCCACCTCGCCAGTCCTATTCTTGTACGCGTAAACTTTTCCGTGTCAGCTGTTTTGATCTGTCTTTATCAGCATCATGCTGATTCCTCCTTGGTTATCCGTTGCCTCTATCTTCTGAACTTTGACATTTAAAATAAATATGTTAATTTTACCCCTTTCAATAGCGTAGAGGTCCACACGTTACGGTTACAACAGAGATTTTTAGTTTGCAGGGGAATGTCTCGTCGGATGCGTTGGAGGATCCAGCTAACCATGGAGATTGGAGAGTCCATATTTAATGGGCTCACGAATGTATCCCCACCTGATAAGCTTGACTCATCAACATTTATTAGACTGCCTGGAGTGCATGCACCAGGGAACTCCAGACACAAAAGGTCTTTACTTTGGAGTAAGAATGAATGGGAAAAATGCGAAAGGAGTTGAGACAAGGGAATGTTACAAGAATATGTCCCCATCAGACATCAAAGCTGAAAATAACCAAACCCAATTTTTCCATCAACATGATCCTTGCATTACACGGTTGGCTGTGGCTGCGGAGGCTAGTGGACTTGGGACTTAGAGAGTTACGCAAAGTTGTTGGGCTTGCTTAATGAGCCAGTGGTCCTTCTGGTAGTCACTGTCAATTGGGTCCAGCCGAGTTGCAACTAGTTGTTTTGGGGCTTGCTTGGGCCCCTACAAAACTAAAGACGTGTGTAGTGAGGTAAGCGATGTTCTGCTAAACTCCGCAGCCATTTATCTCGTTTGTAACCCCACTCGGACTAAAGAGGGCAAAGAAAGGAAAGATAAGGCAACGCTGGCATCCAATTCCACTTTTCCGCGCCTTTCTCATGTATTTGACGAAATGCTTCAAGCTCTTCTGACAATAGTTTCTGGTGTTGTCACTTTTCAATCTCAAGATGGATCATAAGAGAACTCCACAATATAACCACTGGATTTCCATTTGTTTAGGTGATGTGTCATTGTTAACAACTTTTTCAGTATTTCAACGATGGGCAACGGGGATATTCAAGCCCGTGCACATTAAAAGAATGTTTTTTTTTTTCCTAAAAAAATATCTGTCATTAATTAATGATTAATTGTAACTTTAAAAAGTAAAAACTCTTTTCTTTCTTATCTCTTCCTCAGTTATAAAGCTCCATCTACCATATTATGATTTTGACCTCCCCTTTCTCCGGTTGCAGGCTCCATTGAAAACTCTGAAACAGACCGCGATTTAAAGGTTAGACTTTAGAGTTACACCATAGGTAAATGGTATTCATTGTGAAGTCATTAGTTTCATGCTTTAACGGTATGTTTGGATTGATGGGAGAGGAAAGAAAATAAAATAAAGTAAAAAAAATAAAAAATTAAATTTTTATTTGGATAAATATTTAATTTAAAAAAAAAACAATGTAGAAGTCAAATAATTTTTAGTTTTTTTTGTAAATTTAATTTTTTAATACTTCAATTCAATTTAGAGAAAAAGTTACCGAAAGGAAAATTCTAAAAAAAAAATTTTATAAAAAAATTATTATGTCTATCTTTTTATTAATATTAAAAATTTAATAAAAAACTTAAATAGATCACAATCATCCTGTAATTTTTTCAAAATCATCTCTTTTTTCAAGTAAATTTTATATGTATCTTTTAATATACAAATTTTTTATAATTTTTTGATGATTTGATTTTGATAAATGGTTGGATATAAATAAATATATTTTTTGAATTTATGAGATATCAAATTAGTTCAAAATTTATCAATACATATTTATAAAATATTTTCTTATTTCACTTGATTAAAAATCATTTATATAGTAAAAATTGTGAGATTATATAAGATAACAAATATATTATAATCTAGGAATGCTCTAAAATCATAAGTAATAAAAGATTATAATTGAAAAAAATAATTATAATGAATATTTTTTTTCACTCTTTATCCAAAAATTGCTAAAATTTATTTTTTTTATTAATTTTAATTATTCAAACAAGAATTAAATATATCTTTTTTTTTTATTAATATTTATTCAAACGTAGTGTTAGAATTAATTTTGATCAGTGGAAATTGACGACCATGGTATAGGTTGGACCTATGGAAGTTGCAAAACTAGATACAGTCATGATAATTGTCTGAAGTATCCAATGTATTAGACTATTACTTATAAACTAAATTTGGCTAAGAGGAAAAATCTAACTCTGTACCGTAATCAAACTCCAGTTAGCTGCTATTTGCCTCAATCATGCTTAAGTAGGCAAAGTGTAGTTTCTGGCCAACAGCTAAAGCTGATATTCTATTTCACCTTTTTTGCATGGTCGTTTTGAAGGATGAAAAAGGTTTATTATTTATTTTCATCAGTAAATGAGATTGATGTAAAGCTTTTTATAGGTTTAAGAGAGAAGATACGAGATCAATTAAAGGAAAATTATAGCTTAAATTTGTATGACAAATCATATGCCCATAATGTTGAATAATTTTCAGGATACAGTGGAAAAATCAGATGGCAGCCAGTTCCTCTGAAAAACTGGGAATGATCTAGTTGTGTATTATTACAAAGACAATAGGATTGCTACTGGCTGAACATTCTCTCTAATACATTTTCAAGGCCATGGATCCTCAATTCTAATGCTTCCACTGTTTCAGCGAAGTCTGCAATTGCTCAGCGCTTGTTTGCTTAGCTTCCGCCAAATAACAGCCGCTAGATTTCTGCCTTTGTGATGAAGCTTTCCTGATATTCTTCAAGTTTCTGAGACACTTGGAAACTGCTTTCTTCTTTACTTCTAATTACTAATTACTACACAAAGCATAAAATGATGCATTCTCACTTCGTAGTCTAACTTAAATCATTTAGTTTTTTCTTTTAGTCTTATTGAATTTCAAATAAATTATAATCAATTAAGCTGGTCAGATCAATAAGCGTTTAATTCCAAATGTCCATGTCTTGTCAGTAATGTTCAGGAAAAAAGGAAATACAGAAAGACCAAAAGAAAAAGCAGGAAGAAGATGATGAGACTTTGGGCAAAAGATTTCTTCTTTGGCTTGATAATGTACATAACTCATTCAATTTACATAGAAATATACAGCAATTTGTAGACAAGCCCCTTGTAGAAATGGGGATGTCATTGGATATGACTAGATAAAAAAACGACCCACAGCACTGGTTAATGGTTGACAATGTTGAGAAGGGACACTCTAGTTTTAATCAAACACCTAAAGGCACACTCCAATCCCTCTTCAAGTTTCTGAATAGTTGATTCGCAGGCCTCCAAATTCTTCAGGGCCTTCTGTACTTGGGGGCCATCAATGCTTTTGCTTGACTTGTTCTTGATAAAAGCTTCTAAAGCATCATCTATTTTATCTTCTTTATCCTCAATCTCACAAGATACACGCTTGGATTGGATCAATTTTGAGACCAAGGACCAACCAGTTGACTTTGATTTTTGGGAGGAAACAAATGACTGCAGGGACTCGAACACTGCGAGACTAACTGCCTCAACTTCTTTTAGCGTGCTAACCAAGGCCTCAACGTCATGGTCATTATCCGGGATTGCCGCATTGCCTTTTTTCATCTTCTTGATGTTGCCAAAGCACTTGAAAACAATTTATTCACTTTTTTTCTTGAGATGAAGTACTTTCTAATTTCATTTGCTAGACTGGATTCACAACCCTTCCTTCTGCGGAGGGATGATTCCAGATCTTGAACGCAACCTTCGATCTGAGAAAGAGCATCCGTTGAAGAGCTACATATGTCCAACAACTTGAGAGATCCATCCAACATGTCCTCTACATATTTATCTTGCCGTTCATTGGAGAAAGCTTTTTGGGTGAGTCGCAACTGAAAGTGGTTATTAGCACATTCATACTTCTCCTTTAGAGCAGCCAAGTTCTTCCATAGACTTGATGGAGAAGAAGATGTTGCTTCTGAGGCTCTCAACCAGCGTAACTGATCCTCAACGTTGGCTACAAGAGGGTGGGATTTGGATGGCAAGCTGTTGGAACGAGCATGGAAATTAGCTTTCATTGTTGTAATTGGAGCATCCATTTTTTTTCTTATTTTCTTAGCTGAGAACTTATTGCTAAGATGCATAATTCGGGGTTAGATAATCAGGACATTCCTACTAGTCAGCTTTTATATATGGTGAAGGGAGACAGAAGGTATCCAATCATTTAAACGTTCAGTTGGCCTTGATGTGGCATTGCCTGCATGTTGTCAACTGCTGTTTCATCATTGTAGCATATTATTAAGAGAAAATTAGGATATAATTGTTTGCATCAATCTGCTAACCTGTCTCCTAGACATTAAGATGTACAAGCCACATTATAATATAGCAAACGTGTAAAATATTTGACAGGAAATTGTGCCAATTTAGATATGATGGTTTAGCATCTGCAAACAAGTGGAATATTTTTTTTTCTTTTTCTTGACAGCCTTCAAATCAATTCCATATAGCCAGGATCTTCATTCGGGCTTAGGGTCAATTCATCTACCCAATTTTACTTAACAACTCGCCGTAACAGAATGATATCTAGAGGGCAAGCTGATAGAAATGAACATAGAAAGTAGCTTTAAGAGGTCCAGTGGACTTCTTCTCTTCTAGAAGCGTAAAATTTGGTTCTGAGAGCAATTAATGTTGAATCCAAACTCTGCTACACCAAAAATGTCTAGCAAGAAAACAACAAAGAGTCGCATTCTCCTTTAAAACTTGGAATCTTCTTGCAGTCTGCTGAGTTGACAGTTCCTGAAATTACTCATCATGTTTGGATTTGAGAAAGAGCAACACCATGAAATGTATTGGTTAAGAAATAGAATATTGAAATGCACGAGTGGCATGCTACCATGGCTCCCAGACATTAAACAACCATCGTAATCTAATCACGTAGATTGCACAGATCTCCATGCATTAATGACCTGTCACACATGGAATCTTTGCAGCTTGTTCAGGGATTTGAACTGAATGCAGTCCGTGCGCATGATGTTGATGAAAAATGAACTTATCAGTTGCTGGGAGATCATTGAATAGATTTCTAACCAGACCATAAAATTTCAAAAACCATGGTCATCTTTGGCAGATAGATTTTTAGCCATTGTATGAGAATTAATAACTGAAGAAATCTTAAATGTGATGGCTGTGCACCTGGTTATCACTGCCTGATTGTGATAGACGTATTCTTCTGCGAAATAACTAGCTAACTGTTAAAGAAGGGCCAAAGCAGTTAGATGATGTTATCGTGAAAATATAAATACATGGAAAAAGAAGAGAAGAGAAGAGAAGAGAAGCAATTGGAGATAAATTTCCAATATATTGAATATTTGTACAATTGAGAGCAAAATTGTCTTGGATTGGACATCATTAGTAGTTTAGAACGTTGAGAAGCGAAACTCTGGTTTTCAGTAATCGTCTAAAGATACACTCCAATTCCTCCTCTGTTTCCTTGATGGTAGATTGAAATGCCTCGAGCCCCTTCGATACTTTTTGCACTTGAACAAGTTTGATGTCTTTGCCTGATGTCAGGAAAATCAACTCAGCATCTAGTTTCTCGGCTTCGCTTGCTTCCACTTCTTCAATTGATGCGCGTTTTGAATGCAGTACTTTTGGAACAATTGACCAGCCGCTGGGCTTTGATCTTGGCTTCGGAAGAGAAACAAAAGATAAGAGGGCATCAAACACTGCAAGACTAATTTCCTCAGCTTCTCTTAGCATGCTTAACACAGCCACCATTTCACGATCTTTGTTCTAGTGATCATTTAATTTACATTTCCGATTCATTCCGTTCAGACTTTTGAAACACTGACTGATTTTTTTTTTTTCATTTCTTTCCTGGTGATAAAAGGTCTGACTTCACTTGCCAAGCCACGAGGGATGATTCAAGTACCTGCACACTCTTCCTCATCCGAGACAATACATCTCTAGTGCCACACACATCCAACAGTCTAAGAGATCCATCCAACACGTCCTCTAGCTGTTCAGGGCAAAGAGCTTGTTGGGTAAGCGGTAAATGAATCAAATCATCAACACGATGGTACAATTCTTTTAGATCTCCCAATCTGTGGCTTATCGAGGAGGATGTTTCTTGTGATGCCTTCAATCTGGTTAACTGCTCCTCTACACTTTCAACTAGAGGATGAGTATTGGAGGGCAAACTGCTTGAACGAACATGACCAGTTGAGGCATCCATTTTTTCCTTTAGCAAGGGGAGTAATGTTACAGACGTGAATTATAATAGCTCCTTGGAGAACTGCTGGAAACTGGGCAATTTGATCTTATTGTATATAAAGAAAGAGATGACAGTTAATCTCTATCCTTCCAAGCTTGCATTCGCTGTCAAGTCGTGAGTTCCCAGACAGCTCTAGAACTTCCTCGATTACAGAATTTAATAAAGTTATAAATTCATTACAGAATATAAAACTGACATACACGAGTAAACGGCTCCATGGCTGCAAGACAGGAGGCGACCATTAGAATTATGCATTATGATTCTGAATTTGGATCCAATGAATCGTGTGAAATACATAGAACTTCACGCTATCCTTTTGCTTTAATATTCATGAACCTTAAATGCACTGAAAAAAAAACCCCAAATGATTAACTTAGATAATGTAGGTTGTTGAGGGAATTGCTTGTTGCTCCATTAGCATTGGCATGACCCTGGGATAAAGTTTTCAACTGTACAGGAGAAATATAAAATACTCCGTTAACTGTAACCATGTCTGCCGGACAGACTAAACCAGGACAGATTCTCGTTGCTCTTGCGCATCATGTTCGAATTGATCATGTGGCTAACATATACATAACTCTCTGGTTGCTACGTCTCTAGCTGCAAGTGGAATCTAAATAAATCATCTCGAACGAGTAGTACCATTCATTTGCAAATCAAATTAATCTTTCCAAAGCCAACACTCATTAAATAGTTTCAAGCATTAACTATTCTGGTCCTTCACCTGAGTGACACTTGCAGAATAGTATAATAACTCTTGCATTCTAAATTGGTCAGTTTACTTATCTAGTTAATGCAGCCAGTCCCCACTTAATTCTGCCAAGAAAATAATCTGACTAATTACTTCGTGTGGTTGATTCCGGCAGATCAGAGATGACACATAAGCATTTCTTTGGCGTTATTAAATGTCTTAACTTGAATGATCCCCCCGCGTACAAGAGCAAGAAAGTTCTCCTGTAAGTAAGAGAACACTGAATCAGGATGAATGCTTTTCAATCATCTGCGGTTCATATTCTGGGTCTAAAGGACATTCCAAAAGCAAGAGAAAATGAAATACACCCAGTTTTCAATATCCCAGGCACGTAAAAGAAATTAGAATCACAGTTTTCTCCTATAATACTGGAAACAAACAAGAATTTATAAAATAAATAACTACGCAACAACAATAATAGCTGCACATTGATGTGAAAGGTTTGAAAAATCAGGATAAGCTACAATTTGAAGTCCAGCGTTTCATCGTAGGAATTAAACAATAAATTACCAGGCAATTGAATATATCATGCGAATAGTTGGAGTTAGTTATTAGTTATTACCAATACAAAGTATTACAATCAATCAAGTATTAAAAGAAATGTAAGTCAAACGTGAGGCGGGTGTACGAGTCAATAGCATCTTCCTATTGCTTGAAAGGCTAGTAAGGCAACCCAGCATTAGCCCTCGTCACCTATATTTAGGTTGAATTTAGCTGCTTTGATGCGCGAGATAAGAGACTCCCCAATATTTGATAATCCTTTCCTACCAACCAACTTCACCCCAAAGTTGCGATGTAACAAATTCATCCTGTCCCCATCTCCAATCAGTTCACTTAACTGAATGGTTTGCTTCTTTGTTATCAAACCGTAAAGACACAAGGAACTCGAGTCTAATTTTTCCCCATGGAATTTGACCCTTATTAATGCATGAGATCCAAGATCATTTGAATTGGGATCAAACAAAGCTGAGAAGCTCCCAAATGACAGGTCAGGTTTCTCAAATAATTTAATCAAACTATCACTTACATCGGTATCATTATTAACTTTGTCAGTCAGAGTCAATGACCTCCTCCTGGCAACTCTAAGTACGTTAGCAGCCTCCCTCATGCCACTTAGAAAAGCTCCATGCATTGTCGCAGGATACTGCTTGTTAGTTGCCTCACCTGCAAAGAAAACTCTGCCATCTCCAACGCTCTCAGCAAGAATATCATAATCATCCCCTGATGAACCAATAGCAACATAAGAGTAGGATCCATACGTAAAGCAATCTTTCCCCCACCGGGTACAAACAGCTTGAACAGGATCAGGAACAACAATCCCCTTTGGATGAAAAATCCCTCGCAATATGTTTAATACCCTTTTCACAGACTCAACAGGAGATATCGTTTCAAACTTAATTGCTGCATCCCCTGCAACAAGAGCAACAAGAAGTGGTCCTCCTGACACAGCAGAATAGCTATAAAACAAAAAGAACTCGCCTCTCATGCTCGAATCTTCTGTCAGATGGCCAAAAGTATCAATCTCTCCACCCCAAAAATTGTATGGAAACAACATTGCAACCTTATTCAGCAACCCATATCCTAGTCTCTGAATAGCATCCCTCTTTCTTTGCGGAAGCTCAGGAACAAATTCAATTGATCCCTTCTTGAGAACTCCTAATGGAACGGTGCAAAGAGCCATATCCCCACGAAATTCCTGTCCACCAGCATAAACCCTAACCCCATCAATGCCGTAACTGATACTCTGCACAGTCCTCCCATAGAAAATGGGAAGGTCCTCAGCAAGTGCTCGAACAAACCTCTCATTGCCACCAGGTATAAAACAATGATCACCACCCATCTCATACGGATCATCTTGATCCCAATATGCCATTGACAAATTAGCCATCAAGGAAGCATTAGCATATTCTAAATTTGCAAGATGCCAATTCAACAGCATCCTCTCCTGTGAATCCTCAGCTACCTTGTAAACATTCCTAAAGGCTTCTAGTGCGGTCCCTAATGAAACATCAACTGATTTAACTTCCTCAATCATAGAATGCCTAAGCTTACAAACTCTATCTAATAACTTATTAAAAGAAACCTCTACCCTAGAATCAACATCAGCATCTACTGCCTTTCCATCTGGCAAATACAAAGGGCAAATATCTCGCACCTTATGAAGAGGTAATCCCATTTGCCTTGCAAGAACCCCAAGTGGATTCCCGTTTATTCCGGTGAGAACGCTCCCACCAAGATCCGCTGCAGCCACCACCCCATCACCTTTCACCTTCCTTGTCTTCACGCGCCCCCCAGGGCGCGTCCTACCTTCCAAGACGACAACTTTAAACCCCATCGAAACTAACTGTCTCGCCGCAACCAAACCAGCGAGACCAGCACCCACAATCACCACATTGGCTCTCTCCATACCATCAAATGACGTCAATTTCGCTTCTTTAACAGCAGGGGCTAAACCAAAATTAATGTAACCGTGTTCAAGAAGAAAATTGTACGCTGCGTCCACTAGGTTTTTGTGCTCAGCTCGGATTGATTCAAGCGCGTGCTCACGCGTCAACCAGACAGATACATTGGATCTCCAACGAGCGAGTATGTGGTTTCTTACAACGATGTAGTTAGCTTGCTCTTGGCCTCCGATTCTGGACACAACATGGGCTTCGATTTCCTCTTCTGTAAGCGAATCAACAGGGAAACCGACGGAGATTGCGATTAAAGCTTCAGTGTCCATTTCTTTAGCGAGGCCTGATATTCGAGGGCGACGGTTCTTCGAAAACGATGGGTTGGCAATGAGTTCAGTGAAGAAACGCTTTCTGCGGCGGCGTCTACGAACAGGTGGACCAGGCTCGGTGGGGTTTGAATTAGTGTTTTGGGGTTGTTCGTCGGGAACGGGGTCGGAGGATTCATCTTGGGAATCCGAAATAGGAGGGTCGAGTGTCGCATTGGGGTTTTCTTGGTCTTCGGGGTTGGTGTTTTCCGGTGAGGAGTCGTCTGCAGAAACGACATCATTAGGGTTCTCGGAGGTGTCCTGGGGACGATCCATTTTTGGGGTTTTAAGTTTATGGTTTACCACAAGATTATGCTTTGCGTTAAAGCTGTGTATTGAATCAAAAAATAAATAAATAAATAAACAATGTCGCCTCGCCGTCCGGAATCGTTTTACCTCTTCAACACGAGTCTAAATTGCGTTATTGGGCCAAGGCTCAATATTAGGGAGTACAGCTGAACCCATACATTTTGGTTTGCTCTCAGGAGTGATGAAAGATAACCCAGCTTTAATATAGGTTGGTCTGTTGGCCCATCCGAAATGATCTTAGTAGGAAGAAAAGAAGCAGTCACTCAGGAATATCAAGCTGTCTAATTGGGCCTATTTCTGGTCCAAAAAATTACAACTTTTAAAGTCCTTACTTCGATTTTGTGGCTCTTCGTTTAGCACGATGTAAAAGTTTCTCCAAGGGATTTTCTTTGCCAATTTGACCTCGTCAGCTAAAAAACGAAGCTTATAATATATCGAGTGTCTATTTCTGAAGACAAAAAAAAAAAAAAAAAAACAAAGAAGATATTTAAAACGGGTGGATAATATGATGACCACTTGGACGCAACCCCAGCAACATCACAGTCCATGGCGTTGCTTCATCCAACTCTCCTCTTGTACCTCCCAAAATCAAAATCGTAGTCCAAAAGAAAACCCGCAAAATCAACCCCACTCAATTCACGTTGCCTGATTACGGTTTCACACGCTAACCCAAATTGATTTGACATCCACTGTTTTCAAAGAGATAGCAAGACAAAACACTATTTCATCTAGCCGGGTCGGGTCCGACCCGACTTTATCATCAATAAATCCAACCCCGACTCGACTCAAAATTTTTTTATTTTTCATACCCGATCTTGATCCGAACCTGATATTATATAATTCGTATTCGATCCAACCCAAAATTAATAAAAATATTATTTTTTAAATATAAATATTTAAAAATATCATTATATAAATATATATATAATTAATTAAAAAATAATTTTTTAATATAATATCGGATCGGATAAGATCGGATATACCTAAAATCCGATCCCGACCCGACCTCGATTATTTTCTAACATTATCCTATCCAAAATCCAAAATTCAAAAAAAACCCGACCTCATAAGATCGAATCGAATCAAAATCCGTTAGGGTCGGGTTGAATTCGCATCCCTAATTTCATCCACTGCAAGTAAAAAAGAGAAACCCAGACCAAACCATAGTACATAACTGTAGTAACAGAAACTGATAGTTTAACTCTCAGCTCTCATTTGCCATCAATGGCTAGCTCCTTGCTCTCATCAAACTTCTTTGCAACCCAACTCTTACTGTCTCCCCCAACTCCAAAAACAACAAGAAAGTTCCAGGTAACTCAATCTATCCTCAAAAAGCAATCCAACTCAAAACAAACCTTGAAAGCCCTCCAATCTCATGCTACTCTAGCTGCCTTACTCTTCTCTTCAGTAACCCCACAAGCACTAGCGGTTGATAACGCCCCACCCACACCCCCACCCGTAATCGAAGCCCTACCAACCAAGCCAAGCGCATCGAACCAGTCACCCTTCTCTCAAAACCTCCTCCTAACTGCTCCCAAGCCTCAATCTCAATCCTCTGATCTTCCGGAAGGCAGTCAATGGAGGTACAGCGAGTTCTTGAACGCGGTCAAAAAGGGGAAAGTGGAGAGAGTCAGGTTCAGCAAAGACGGTTCTGCCCTCCAACTCACCGCCGTTGACGGCCGTCGAGCCACCGTGATTGTCCCCAATGACCCTGACCTTATTGACATTTTAGCTATGAATGGCGTCGATATTTCGGTATCCGAGGGTGATTCTGGTAATGGGCTTTTCAATTTTATTGGGAATTTGCTTTTCCCCTTCCTTGCCTTTGCCGGATTGTTCTTCCTCTTTCGTCGGGCTCAAGGTGGGCCAGGTGGCCCTGGCGGGCTTGGTGGACCTATGGATTTTGGACGGTCCAAATCCAAGTTCCAGGAAGTGCCAGAGACTGGAGTTACCTTTGCTGACGTAGCTGGAGCTGACCAGGCAAAATTGGAACTCCAAGAAGTTGTTGATTTCTTGAAGAACCCAGACAAGTACACAGCTTTAGGAGCTAAAATCCCAAAAGGTTGTTTATTGGTAGGTCCTCCTGGTACTGGAAAGACGCTATTGGCTAGAGCAGTAGCAGGAGAAGCCGGGGTACCGTTTTTCTCATGCGCTGCTTCAGAGTTTGTAGAGTTGTTTGTCGGAGTAGGTGCGTCCAGAGTGAGGGATTTATTCGATAAGGCAAAATCGAAGGCGCCTTGCATTGTATTCATAGATGAGATTGATGCTGTTGGGAGACAAAGAGGAGCGGGTCTTGGAGGAGGAAATGATGAGAGAGAGCAGACGATTAATCAGTTGTTGACTGAGATGGATGGATTTTCGGGAAATTCCGGTGTCATTGTTTTGGCAGCAACTAACAGACCGGATGTTCTTGATGCGGCTTTATTGAGGCCCGGTAGGTTTGACCGACAGGTTACAGTTGATCGGCCTGATGTTGCTGGGAGAGTAAAGATTCTTCAGGTTAGCCTTTTATCAACTCATTGCTTACTTGATTATTTTTAATGTAGTTGGCATATTTGAGTAAAATGATTGCGTCCACTTGGAAAATAATATTTGAGTTGTGACATCACAGTGAGGTTTCCAGTTCTCTTTCAATTAGAATTGCAAGAGTATCATAAATTGCTTATCATTGAAATCTTTCAGTAGCTTGCAAATTGGTGGTCAACCATTTGCTTGGTCCTTTGTTGTGCTCTAAACTTCTTATGCCTTCTTAGGTAGCAGGGTTTCTATTTCCTAGTAAGCTTTCCAGTATTACATTGCGACTTGTTAGGAAATTAACTTCTCCAGCCTTAGAAGTTAAGAACATAGAAGATCTTTGTTTTTTCTTTCTTTTCAGGAAACCTGTTGCTCTAATAGCATAATCTTGTTCAAACTTGATTTTTCTCACATTTATCCAACATTATGCTGTTGTCCTCAACTTCATTGTTGAGTTGCTCATCTTTGACCCTTTTATTGATTCTTTCTCCATGCATGCTCTTTGATATTTGCAGGTGCACTCTAGAGGAAAGGCACTTGCAAAGGACGTAGACTTTGAGAAGATTGCAAGGAGAACCCCGGGTTTCACAGGAGCTGATTTGCAAAACCTGATGAATGAAGCTGCCATTCTTGCCGCCAGGCGTGACCTCAAGGAAATAAGCAAAGATGAGATATCTGATGCTCTAGAGAGGATCATTGCTGGACCAGAGAAGAAAAATGCTGTTGTCTCAGAAGAGAAGAAGAAGTTGGTTGCCTATCATGGTATGCATTGGTTCCCTGGTTTTTACGTTGTCTATGCTTTGATCCTGGGTAATTGACTTTCTGTAAGCACTCCAATTTGCAGAGGCTGGCCATGCTTTAGTTGGTGCGCTTATGCCTGAATATGATCCTGTAGCCAAGATTTCTATTATTCCTCGTGGTCAAGCTGGTGGCCTTACCTTCTTTGCTCCAAGTGAAGAGAGGCTTGAATCTGGACTCTACAGCAGAAGCTACCTAGAGAACCAGATGGCTGTTGCACTAGGTGGAAGGTTAGTTATTGAAGTTTTATATCGGCCTTAAAAATTGGTATGAGGAGTATGCCCAACCTTAATCTTAGGCTGCATTTGATGCTGGATGAGATAGGGTGATCAGTTAAAATTCTTGTGTAGAACTAAATCATATTTTAAAGATGACCAACATTTTTAGTTCTAAAATCTGTCACCAGCAGTAGGTACTGCAAGAACATTATCGGGTGGTTGCCTGAATCTTTCTAGTCTATCTGTCTTATAATCTTATTCAAGGAGCTTTCTTCTCATTACTTGTGCAGGATTGCCGAAGAAGTAATCTTTGGTGAGGAAAATGTGACAACAGGAGCATCAAATGACTTTATGCAAGTATCAAGAGTGGCAAGGCAGATGGTTGAAAGATTTGGATTCAGCAAAAAGATTGGACAAGTTGCCATTGGTGGACCTGGTGGAAATCCTTTCCTAGGTCAACAGGTGATATTCTTAAATGTGGTAATTACTAAAACAGTTACACTGTTATCCTACATTCTGTTGTTGCTTTTTACATAATCTGACTCGGAATTCCATTCTAGATGTCTTCTCAAAAAGACTACTCCATGGCAACTGCGGATGTGGTAGATGCTGAGGTAAGGGATCTAGTAGAGACTGCATATAAAAGGGCAAAACAGATAATCACAACCCACATTGACATTCTCCACAAGCTTGCTCAACTTCTGATAGAGAAAGAAACTGTTGATGGAGAAGAGTTCATGAGCCTCTTCATCGATGGAAAAGCTGAGCTATATGTCCATTGAGTCCTCGGTACAATTATTAAATGTTCAAATTGATCTGTATACTTTCATTTGGAAAAATCTCATGCTCGAAAAGGCAGCAAGAGTTACACAATGGTTGGTGCCACTGGCATATTTAATATTGAAATTATGATGTGGCAATGAAAAATTGGAGCAGTGGCATTTTTTTTTTGTTATTAAATTTAGTCATGAAAGAATAAGAAATGGGAGACGATGACAGTTTTTCTTTTTTTGGTCACAAATCTTCGTATTAACAGTAATCACCCTTGAATTAGAACGGATGACCGCTTCAACCTGTTCTGTTTTCTTCTTTAGATTACTGCTAGAGCTTATTCGCTTCTTCGGCTGGTTTGTGAGTATATAATTTTTGCAGCATAACGTTATGGCTTCACTAACATTTTCACACTTTGTGAAGCTTTTTGTAGTATTTGGAAAACCCTGTACGCTCAATTAGCTTAGCGACACTTCACTATGAGGTTCATTTGCACGGATGCACCTTGCTTTTCTTCTTTTTTGGCGTTTTCCTCAGCAACATTTCCATGAGATTACGGAAGAAAAAAAATGACACCAGCAAGTGAATTATTTCATTAAAATCACACAAAAATAAAAAAGAGTGTATGTCAGTCCCAATAGAGCTGTCAGCGTAAAACAAGGGGCTCCCTCGATAGCACATGCAATATTTGGACGGAAACCACAATTCCAATTTTTCATTATCCCATGAATCTCACATGTTTGGTTACAACCACATCCACAACAATTGATCTAAGCCCCTTACAAAAGAATATTACACAGCCACAACTTGAACTTCTCAAGATCCTTTCCCTCCCCGTTGCCTTTTTTCTTCTAGTGCAGCAGCTTCATTCAACATGTCAGCTGCATCCTTGTGCATGTCTAGCTTGGCAAGGGCAACAGCCTGCATGTAAAATGCTGTCGACCAGTCAGGGTATACACATTGCGCTTGCATTGCATCTCGTAGGGCAGCATCTGGCTGATCACAGAGCAGATGACAAAGACTTCTTCGTGCATACACAGTTGGAGAAACCATGGTTCCAACATCTATGAACTGCAAATAAAATGGGATCAAATTAACCAACCATTAATGCATAAAAATGCTACT